GATGTGAATTGATGCTCTCATCAGGGGGAGTTAATACGCGTTGTACTCTTTTTTCCTTACAAGGTTTTGTCCCACTGGGTTTTCCTTGCAAGGTTTTTAACGAGGCAACCAAAAGGCGTATTTCTAAATATGTGTACTCTTTTTCCCTCACTAGGATTTTTTTTTCCCATAGGGTTTTTTTTTTTAATAAGGTTTTAACGAGGTACATTATCTATGGACATCCAAGGGGGAGTGTTATAAGAAAAATTAAATTATGGTGGATGTCTACTCTTCCTCCATGATCTTCTCAAATGCTTAATGACATATTTCTATGCTTAATGACATATTCAATGACATATTTTTCTTCACTTTTCATGCCTATATAAAAGCCTTGTAATAGATAGGAAAATACACATAATTGAAGAAGAAAATCTCTTCCTTCTCTCTATCTCCATTTCTTGTTCATGTTTTACTAAATTGCTTTTATTTCATAACAACATGTCTTGTTCATGTTTTACTAAGTTGCTTTTATTTTATAACAAGGAAGACTTTCAAGCCAAATTGATTAATTAAAAATTGAATAGTAACAAAATATAGTTGGCCCTACGGATTTTTTTAATTGTCATCTTCAAGTACAACTGTGATTTTTTGCTTTATATATTTTGCTTCATTTGAACAATTTGTAATTCATGGACCCATTGTGGGATTTATTTAATATAATAGCTATTAGGTGAATAACCTAGTGGTTTATTTGCTTAAAAAAGAAAACTGTGATTTTGTTTCACAACCATCATCCTAAATCGTGAAGACGTAATAGTTCTTATGCAAATTTAACAACAAGAGTAGAAAGTACAGTTTGGATTATTTCTTTAGAACGACAACAGATTCCATCAGTTAAACAAATTTGGAACCCAAAATATACACAGGGATATGTAGCCAATGTATGGTTGTGAAATTATTTAATTTACATCGATGTAATTTATCCTCAGGTGAGCTGATTAATTAATACTTAAAAGGATCGATAAAAAGAAAACTTAAATTAGTTTTTCTTTTAAATCTATCATTTGTTAAATATTCAACGTCTATATACAGGTAATCTATTTTATTTTTTAAGTGATTAATTTTTTTTTTTTGAACGGTTACCTATAATTATCTTTTTAGGTGGCCAAACAAGGCAAATATTCTTTTGCATTATTAGTTTACAAAAGCTAAACTCTTCTTTAAATGATTTTACATTAAATCATTACCAAATTTATGTACATTTTCAGGACACGAAGAATATGCGAAGCAAGTTAGAGGAAATGTTAGAAAAAGCAGCAATGGGAGACAAAACAGTGATAATAACAACCTTAAATGCAGCATGGACAGCTCCAAACTCCATATTTGATCTTTTCTTGGAAAGCTTTCAAATTGGGAATCAAACGAAACCTCTGTTGAAACATATTTTAGTTGTAGCTTTGGATCAAACTGCGTATTCTCGTTGCTTGGAAAAACTGTACCTTCACTGCTATGCTCTCACTACAGAAGGCGTTGATTTCTCCGGTGAGGCGTATTTTCTGAGCGATGATTACTTGAAGATGATTTGGAGAAGGATTGATTTTTTGCGTACTGTTCTGGAGACGGGATATAACTTTATTTTCACGGTACTCCTCCTTCACTCTATAATAAAAATGTTACTGTAGTATTTGGTATAACGGGAGTTCTGTTCCATGAAAAATGTTCCTTTTTTTAATGTTTGGTTGATGGCTGAAAAATATTTTCAAAATATATATCTATATATATAAACTATATAATAAAAATGCTAGCAAATCAGTTAGTGTTATGATAAAATATGTAGGTTTAAGAGAAAGATAATTGATAATAATGTCATAATATTGCTTGGAGCAAGTGATATGAAATTAAAAGTGGTTCTAAGGAAAATGACTTCGTCCATCAGTAAGGAAAGTTGTTTCCAACCTTGTGAGGGAAAATATTTCCCTTGAAAACTTTTTTTGTGTAATCAAACAACATAAAATAGTTGCCTTATTATGAAAAATATTTTACTGGAAAATGATTTTTGTCGTACCAAATACTCCCATAATGCTTCCCCATCCATTTTCTGAATTTCGATGGCTTTCATTACTCTTGATAGGCATTAGAATATTTGGGGGGAAAAATAAGAAAAATTAATGATATATATATATATATATATATATCCTCATTCTTAGAATGTGATTTTCAAAGTGGTGTCTAGTAATCAATATTTCTACTTTGAAAATTTTTATATATTGCTCCAGTGCTAGCTATATATTGTAATGTATTTGTTTTTCCATGTTCTTCAGGATGCTGATATATTGTGGTTTCGACAACCATTTGCACATTTTTATCCTGACACTGATTTCCAAATTGCTTGCGACCATTATTGGTATGATTCTTTCGATTTGGACAACTCACCAAATGGAGGTTTCAATTTTGTGAAATCAAATAATCGTAGCATCCAATTTTACAAGTTTTGGTATGATGCAAGAGAGGCTCATCCAGGAAAAATGGATCAAGATGTACTAAACATGATAAAACACGACCCTTTTGTTAAAGAAATTGGATTGAAAATAAGGTTTTTGGACACTGCTCTTTTTGGGGGATTTTGTGAGCCTAGTAAAGATCTCAATTTTGTTTGCACAATGCATGCAAATTGTTGTATAGGACTTGAAAATAAAATACATGACCTAACAATGGCCATTGATGATTGGAAAAAGTTTATGGCTTTGCCTGGTGATGATAGGATGTCAAAGCCACAAACTTGGACTGTTCCAAGAATCTGTGGTTAAAGTTTGATGATAAATTAGAAGAAAAATCTTTTTTTCTTTTATTTATGGTCCACGCAGGTATAAAATCCTCCATGTTACCTCTTTTTTTGTTTTTCCTTTTATTAATTTCCTTTTTAGTATCCTTGAGAGGCAGATTAAGGATTTGAACATTACAGGTCTGGATTTGTAATTTTAGCAAGCCTCATTTGATTTAATGGGTTCGAACTCTATTATTTAGTGGACTGTTTAATACATATACAACTTCGAGCAAAGCTTTATAAGTCCTTTGGTATCCTAATCCTTTTTAATCATATATATTTGAATGGAGGAATTAATTCATCTGAGATGGACAATCGTTATCATTGTACCAATTAAAGTATGATCAGTAGCTCCAGAATATCTTATTTATTTATTTTCCACTAATAGAACAAGTGAATTTGAAATTGGCGTTTTATAGAGTACATGTTTGTAAATATTCCATTGCGAGTTTGAAGACTGAATTAAAAAGGGTTGATTACGAAGGAGTTTCTTTTTTATTTTTATTTTAACACTATCCTTACAATTCAAGAACGCAGAGTCCTTTTTGAAAGATTGTGTATAATTAGGATGTTGTAAACATGCATGCAGTGAAAGCAAATCAACAATCCTTTAAATTTCATTTTTGGGCACAAAACCTTACAAATTGTATGTGTAGAAGAACACGCACGCTCATATTGCTATATATATATATATGATCTAATGATAGTATAGTAATTCAGTGTCGTCTTCATCTCTTTCAAACTTGTTGTTGTTGTTGGAGTGAGAGAGTGTCTTATTATATTCTTGACTATGGATAATAAACTTGATGATGATACTGCTGCTTTATCTCTAGATCTGTTGTTGTTATTAGAGGCGAGCTGCCAATATTAATTTGAAGTAGAATCTGAAGATTTTTATCCCCAAATCCTCTTTGCGGGAGTTGAATATTTTGGTGATGTAATTACCGCCTTTGCAGCGTTAGTAAGAATCGTATTGCTTTCACTTCTACAAATTACTTTTTTTAAACAAGGAATCGGAGTTTTTCCATTTCCTAAAAACACGCTTTTTTTCCCTTTCTTTTTCTCCAAATTTCTAAAATATACCTACACCTAAACAAGAAGGAAAATATGATTTAACTTGTACTTATTCACAGTAGCTCAGTGTATACGGTCGAAGTTGAGCTCGACTACAACTTGGTAGATTAGGCTTGGAACGTGGCGACCAAGGACTCAAGATCGACCTCAAGTCCCACTGAGCTAAAACCCGAGGTCGAAAAGACTACATTCGAGGAACATTAAGTCCGGTGTCGACCTTAGCCTCGAACGAGCTCGAAAAACATTGTTGAGGTAGCTAACAGAAGCCCGAAATATCTGTGACTGGTCGGATATTACGGTAGGGATCTCGGCACGAATCAATACGGAACTGGCAATCAGCGAATCAAAAGATCTTTTACCTTTTATAGAATTGTACCTAAAGAAGGATTCCTCTACGAAGAACAAAGTGATTCCGGGCTGTTGGCCCGTGCTCGGGCTAGCACCGATACTTAGAATACTTCGGTGTCGGTAGGAGTTGATACTGCTCCGACCAGGCTTGATGAGGTTGAGGAGGGGACTTCAACCCAAGTTCCCGAGCTGAGGGAGACCGAGGATGTTTTGCCTCGGGGCAAAGAGACCATCGAAGAAGCTACGGATGCCGGTGTGCAAACTGAGCTTGAGGCTCCCCAAGATGGAGGCGGCGCTCAAAAGGACCTACTCGGGGCATAGAGATCAGGGATTCTCCCTCTTTCCCTTCTTTCTCCCAATCGATGATACGTGACGCTCAAGCTGTGGAGATTTGTCACGGGGAAGGAGCCCATGGAGGGGAGGATCCTTTCCGTGGTTATTTTATCGGGGTAGAAGATTCCACCGGTCCAGGTGACTTAGACATTTCAAAGAAGGGCTCGAGTGAGATGGGAGTTCCTTGCCTTTTCAATGAAGCCCAACAGGCCCTGAATCTGGTAAGTTCATACTGTCTTTGTTAATTTTCATACTTGTGTTTTTCTTTCCTTGTATAATCCCTTCCTTTTATTTTTGTAGGCTTCTGTGCTTTATCACGAGGCTTTTCTCCAATCCTGAGGGGAGCTGAGCCGGTACGAAGCCAAGTTCGAAGGCTTACTGAGGAGAGAGATGCTTTAAAGCTTATCAGTGAGTAGAGAGAAGGAGAAGTAAAAGGACTTTGGGCCGAGCTGGAAGCATCCCGGAGAGAACAAACTGAGCTGGCCAAGCAGGTAAAAAGAATCTTTGAATTTAATGATATTAACTCGGGAGTGATGGCTAACAGTTCGGTCCCGCAGGTCGAGCAAAAGTTTGATGTGATTAAGAAGCTTCGTGTTGAAGTGGACGCAGTGAAATCGGAGCCCGAGGAATGGATGGAGAACATGGACCGCCTCGCCTCTGAAAAGGAGACTGCCCGAACTCAATTGGCTTCGGCTGAGGCCCAACTCCGAAGCTTGAAAGAGAAAACCTTGGTGCAAGCCAAGAAAATAGAAGAGTTCCAGTCTCGGTTGAGTTCAGCAAATTCTGATAGAGAGAAGCTGGCCAAGGAACTTGCAGCGGCCAAATAGGAAGTCGAGCAAACCATGGCCAATGCTGATGCAATGGTGTCTATTTATCGATTTGATGCCGAAGCAGCTCAGGTTCAAGCAAAGGAGGTTACTGAGGCTACTCAAGATCGAGCAAACTGGGTTGCTGAGCATGCTAAATGCCAGTCTCGAAGGGAGACTCTTGAATAGATCCATGCTCGTGGCTTCAATCTTATAGTTGAGATCGAGAAAGCTAAGGAGCTTGAAGCCGAAACCAGATTGTTGGCTTTTCCTGATGATGATACCGGGAGTACGAGCGGATCTGACAGCGAAGGGGACCTCGAGGGCGAAGATGCTGCTCCCGGAGAGGACTAAGTCCTTTAGTATTTTTTCATTTCTTATAAGACCGTTTTGGTCTTTTGTAAAGAGATTTGATCGGGCTATGCTGCCCTTGTAAATGATTTTAGAAATGTATAAAAAACTTTCTTCCTTTCTGCCTTATAAAATTGTGAAGTTATTTTCTAACGCCGGGGTTTAGATAATTTGATCAAAATGGAACTAGTGTAACCCTTAGACCTTTTGATCGAGTGAGTGTTTGCTCAAACTCGAAATAAAAAACAGCCCTTAGGCTTTATGGTCGAGTGAGTGTTTGCTCGAACTCGAAGTAAAAAATAGCCCTTAGGATTTATGGTCGAGTGAGTGTTTTCTCGAACTCTAAGTAAAAAACATCCATTTAGGCTTTATGATCGAGTGAGTGTTTCCTCAAACTTGATGTAAAATATGGCCCTTAAGATTTATGGTCGAGTGAGTGTTTGCTCGAACTCAAATTAATGTAGCCCTTAGGCTTTACAGTTGAGTGAGTATGATTTCTCGAACTCGAATTAATGTAGCCCTTAGGCTTTATGGTCGAGTTAGTGTTTGCTCGAACTCTAATTAATGTAGCCCTTAGGCTTTACAGTCGAGTGAGTATGATTTCTCAAACTCGAATTAAGGTAGCCCTTAGGCTTTATGGTCGAGTGAGTCTTTGCTCGAACTCGAATTAATGTAGCCCTTAGGCTTTACAGTCGAGTGAGTATGATTTCTCGAATTAAGGTAGACCTTAGGCTTTATAGTCGAGTGAGTGTTTAATCAAACTCGAACTAATGTAGCCCTTAGGCTCTACAGTCGAGTGAGTATGATTTCTCAAACTCGAATTAAGGTATCCCTTAGGCTTTATGGTCAAGTGAGTATTTTCCCGAACTCGAACTAATGTAGCCCTTAGGCTTTACAGTCGAGTGAGAATGATTTCTCGAACTCGAATTAAGGTAGCCCTTAGGCTTTACAGTCGAGTGAGAATGATTTCTCGAACTCGAATTAAGGTAGCCCTTAGGCTTTATTCATAGTTCCGATTTGGGGTTATGGTTCGAACTCCAATCATGGTCGGCCATTAATCCTGTTTGCATAATAGATCAAGAATATGAAGCAGAAGAATCTTTCTGAGATATGAGATGTCGGTAAAGAAGAAATTTCTCTTTATATGTCATTATACATGCGTACATGATTTGTGTCAGGGCTCGAGCAAACTACGCGGGCATGGTTCGTTTGACCATTTGGCCCTTACAAATTTTTCCTATTTAGACCCTGTTGCCATGAAGTAATTTCCTTGCATCGAACTTGATATATTCGAGTGTAATGCCCCCCAGAATTTGAGGTTGATTGTAAAGAGGCCTCGAATATTGTTGAATTGCTCTAGGTTAGCACGATCAATGGTTTCCTCATTAAAAACCTCACCGAAAAACCCATATGGGAAAAAACCGGTCTAACGGAAAAAGAGTGCAACGCGTGCTTTCAGACCTAAAGGCTTCGAGTTAAAGAATCCATCCATGTTTCTGGTCGAACACCTACGAGGGTTAATTTTTAAATACAAATGAACATGGGAGGGTCGTACCTTAGTAGTAGTATCGTTTTAGGTGCGATACGTTCCGATTGCTCGGTAGCTGTTTGCTGTTTATCACACCGATCTTGTAGGATCCTTTTCCGACGATTTTGAGAACCTGATATGGTCTTTACCAGTTCGGACTCAGTTTCCCTTCATTCGGATTTCGGGTGTTGAGGGCGACTTTTCTTAGCACCAAGTCCCCTATTTTAAAATGTCGAAGATTGGTTCTTCGATTATTCGATTCGCTATTTTTGGGCGGCCAATAGGGCAAGAGCGGCTTCTCGTCTTTCGTCCAATAATTATAGGATCGTATTCATGGTCTCGTTACTCGACTTATTTGTTGCATATTGAAACCTGATGATAGTTCTCCGACCACAACCGGGATAATGGCTTCGGCGCCATAAACCAACGAGAATGGTGTTGCTCCGGTACTGGATTTCGATGTTGTGCGGTATGCCCATAGGACCACGGGTAATATTTCTCTCCATTTTCCTTTATCGTCAGTTAATCTCTTCTTACGTTTTTTGATGATGGTTTTGTTGGTCGATTCGGCTTGTCCGTTAACGCTGAGATGATAAGGTGTTGATAGGATCGTTTTGATCTTATGATCCTCGAGAAATTTAGTTATTTTGCTGCCGATGAATTGTTTTTCATTATCACATACAATCTCGAATGGTATCCCGAATCGACATATGATGCGGTCCCAAATGAAATCTATCACTTCTTTTTATCTGACTTTCTCGAAAGCCTGTGCTTCAACCCATTTAGAGAAGTAA